GATCAGCTGATTAACTAACAAATCTGAAGTTGTCCCATTTGGAAACACATTGGAATAACCTTTTCTCTGGATGGAAGAAAAGAGAAACACAGAATCACCAAGGTTGGAAGAGACCTCCAAGACCATCCAGTCCAACTGTCCACCCATCACCAATAGCTCTCACTAAACCACGTCCCTCAACATCTAAATGTTCCTTGAACTCCTCCAGGGTCAGTGACTCAAGGTCAAAGAATGGCTGAGGTGGAGTTAAAGAGAGAAAAGCAGACACTGGGTTGCACAACCAAAACTTAGGGTTAATAATTCATGGTTAAATGAAATGCTGAACTTCTTCTGTAGCCTGGCCTTCCTTCGGTTCACCTGTCTAAATCAATTAATTTTTTTAAATTATGTTTTATTCTGTTAATAAAGGATGAAGCCAAACAGTGTCAGTTTTAACCAGATTCTTCTCTAAGACCTGTGACAGGTTAAATATTATTCTCTACTTGAGATGTGTTCATTCTACTATGACCAGAGAAGTCTACTTTGCCCAAAGCTGTGGGTTCCCCAACCCTGGAGGTGCCCAAGGCCACGGATGGAGGTTTAAGGGCCCTTCCAACACAGCCATGTTGTGATTCTATCTAATTTTTTGTTGTGTAGGTAGGAAGCGCCAGTTGTGCAAACAGTGTTGTGTGGAAAGCTGAGCTCACATGCATTTTCCCTTCAAAACGTGGATAGGAAGTTAATTGAATTACTTCTTGGCAGATCCCAAGTGAGGGTCAGACTTCAAATGGCTTAACTGAAAAACTGTCAGAAAATTATTGGAGTGAGAACGCAGCGTAAGGGCAGGAGAGCTTTTTGTGTTCAAGGAGGTTTGGGCTGAATACGATTAGCTTGTATGAAACGAATTTTAAACACTGATGTGCAGATGAAGAAGGAAATATCTCTTCTGGGCTTGTCTTTGTTCGCAGCCTCTGATGTTTGGTTCCATGCTGGCTGGCGAGAACTAAATAATTTTTGACGTGTGCATGGCGAAAATGCCGCTCTATTTCAAAAGAAAGACAGTAGAGCAAAAAGCACTTGTGTTCTGATTGCAAAAAAGGCTACAGAAAAGGCTGGAGAAGACCTCTCAGATCCCCATGTCCAACCCCAGCCCACCCCCATCGTGCCCACTGTGGCACATCGCAGCCAAAATGCTGTGGAAGGCTGAAAAGTGCAACGCAAGGGCTGACACGGAGCGAGACGGAGCCGTGTGCCTCCTCCACAATAGCTCACCTTCACGTTGTTTACTCTTTTCATTGCTGTTGTGCCTAAATTTATGATTCAATCTACAAGTCAATTTCCCAAGAACATGAAAGATGCGCCTGTCGCAGTCAGCCTCCCTCTTTTAAGAATCCTGTAAAATATGTTTATTTCTAAGCGACGCTACGTTTGTAAAGTCTTCTTCACTTAGTCTGCAGAAAACGTGAAAAATAACTTCATCACCTTCCTGAAGCTCGCACGCTGGATTTGTGCTTTCCTTTTGGAAGGTCTCCCATCTCTCTTTTCCTCTGCTTCCAAGAAGGTGGTGGGGAGAAGAGGAGGCTCAGGGGAGACCTCTTAGCACTCTACAACTTCCTGAAGGGAGGTTGTGGTGCAAAAGGGTCTGGCCTCTTCTCCCAGGCAAACAGTAGGACCAGAGGAAACGGCCAGAAGTTGCACCAGAGGAGGTTTAGGTTGGATATTAGGAGAAACTTTTTCTCTCAGAGGGTGGTCAGGCACTGGAATGGCTGCACAGGGACGTGGTGGAGTCGCCGTCCCTGGCGGCGTTCAAGAGGAGCCTGGATGAGGAGCTGAGAGATGTGGTTTAGTGCTTGTGGTACTGATAGGAATGGGAGGGGGGTTGGACTGGATGATCTTGCAGGTCGTTTCCAACCTTGTGATCCTGTGATTCTGTGATTCTGTCACCATCCCCAGAGGTGTTCCAGAGCCGTGGAGATGTGGCACTGAGAGACGCGGTCGGTAGAGTTGAGTTGGGATTGGGCTTGGGGATCTTGGAGGTCTTCTCCAACCTCAGTGATTCGATGATGTTTTGTTTGTCAGGCGTGGGCAATGCCTTCAGGTCTGTGTGTTGGGGTGGGAGATGCTACTTCACCAATGTACGCATAGAAATATCTGCGTTAACATTTATGTGTAAAATTGCCATCAGTGTTGGAGGACTCAAAACTTTGATTGCTTTGGGAGGCAATGAAGGCGGTCCCAGACAGAGCTTTTCCAAAGGCACAAAGCAAACCAACATCAGGAAACCAGCGGTGCGTAGGAAGGATAAAATAGAAGGAAATGTCACCAGGTTACAGCCAGAAAGCATCCCAAGACTGTTTGCTCACAGCCCATTCCCATGGCATTGCAGCTGGGGTCACTCCTTCAGCTCTCAGCAGCTTCCAGGCAGTGGAGCATCGCCGCTGTGGGGATTGGGGAGCTGTGGGAGCTCCATGCAGCACAGCCATACTTGCAGTCGTCTGTTCATGATTCATTTCTGTTAGTCTTTTTGTTGTGCCCTCCTGGCCGTGAGCAAGTGCTGCAAGTCATCGTGGTGAGGGAGGTTTAATTTTGCTAATCCTTTTTTATCCCCATTTCAGTGTTGCTTTTCGAATGCCGCAACGCAGCGCCCGTAATGAATTTAAAATGGGGTTTTGAATGGTATTGTCTTGCAGAACGTATTGGAAGCTCATCTGAATGTGCTTTAAGATGCTAAAAAGAAAGAAAATCATCCGTCTGAAATGCATTGACTCTTCCATGCGGGCTGGAGGTAATGCCACGCATACCAAGTGGGGAGGAAGCACCTCTTCCTCACCGGGCTCTCAACCCCCATCGTGTGATTATAATCTGTCTTGGCTAAGAGGCATTTTCTTTTGTCCTTCTCAAGCAGTGTGTTCTTTGCCTTTTGGCACAGCACCCAGTGCTGCCAGACATAGCAGTGGTGTTCACCGAATCGTTCTTTATCTACAGGAGGAGCAAGAGGGGATGTGGAGAGGTGAGGGGAAGCTGAGCCCTGCTGATCTCATGCCCGTACTGGATTTTTCTGCCTCATTTCTCATCCACTAGCTCTCTTCCTTTTCCTCTCAGGTCCTGCTTGTTGCATTTCTGACTTAAGGCATCACATGTATGTGGGAACTGTTAGGTTATGTGCTTTGCTGCTGCTGTGATTCAGAGCACTGTTGCAGTAGGGAGGCAGCTCCCACCAACCGTGTTGTTATTTCCCATGCACGGAGCAGTTCTGATGCGCGTGGACCACATTTCTTTCAGCAGCTCCACTCTCATTGCCCACCCAGTGTCCTCCAAACTCTCATGGGACACAGTGGTCGAAACCAGTGCTGGTCCAGTGGGCTCCTTCAAACCATGCACCATAGGACATTCAGTCCGGAAGACCAAAACCCAAACCAAATCTCCTTGCAACAGGAGCCCTCAAAGCACAGTGCATTGCTGTAGGAGCCTCAACGTGAATTCTGTAATCTCCTGATTGCCTCTGATTGCACCCAGGTTTGGGAGTGCTGCTTCTTATCAGAATGGCTTATGGCCATTTTTTCTTGCCTTATTCCCACCACTGATGTGACACCTCCACTGCAGGGGCACGGTGGATGTGAACTGGAAGAAACAAGTCATTGAAGGAGGCGTGAGCAAGGCATCTGGGGAAAAAGGGGGTGTTTTTGGCTACGGCGGATGCAGCTCTTTATACATTGAACTGTGGTGGCCCTCCTCAGCCTCAGCTCACAGCCTTTGCCCTCCAGACCCCTCCCCATCTCTGTAGCCTTCCTTTGGACACTCTCTGATAGTCCTGACATTGTGGTACCCAGCGCGCAGTGCATGGGAGCTCCGTGCTGACATCCCATGGCCAACACCACGGCCGTCCCATGGAGCCTTGTGCTCCTCCATAAATCCCTCCAGTGCCAGTTGCTGCAACGTGTCTTATGGCTGTCGTTGCCTTTGCTTTGACTATTGCTCTTTGTCTGCTAACTTGCGGGTGGAGGGGCGGCTAATTAATTAAGCAGTAATTGTTGTCAAGTCAGTTGTTCCTAGCATTTAACATTTGACTTGTTTACCATCCTGAGGTGCAGTGGAAGGAGTTAATGATCTAACAAATTGCGCATCCATCACGAGAGACTTGCTTGGAAAGGACAACTGTATTTATGAGCTGTAAAATAATACGTTTTAAAACCTCACACTTTGGAGAAGGATCGCTGGGGTTCGCCTTTGGAACTGTCACTAGCTAGCTGCAGAGACAAATGTGTCGCCTAATAAAGCTTAATGACTGATTTTCCTATTAATCAGAATTGAGAATGTGCTTCATTAAGATAATTAACTGAGCAGTTGCTTAACTGACAACTGATAGACACAAATTCCCTCGTTGCTTGTTTTCCTCTAAATAAAACTCAACAGAAGACAGCGGGCGCTGCTGTTGGAGATTGGCCATCATGCCCACCTTGCCGTGTCCATCACCACCCCAAACAGCCACTGCACGCCCTGGGCAGCCCCACAAATGCTTGTGCAGCACCAGGGCTTAGGCATGAGGTTGCTGGCGTCAGATTGAGTTGCTCTCCATTTCACTGGGTCTTTGTTGGAAGGTCGGTTCTCCATTCTCGTTGCCTGCGTTACCCAGTGAGCATTGACTCTGCTGAAGGGCTGAATTCCTCTGCCCAATTTCTGGCTTTTCCTCGTTGATCACTGCACGGTAGATGCTGGGTCGTGAATCCTGAGGCCCGTGAAGGTAGGGAATATGTGAAATTAATCTGTTCCAGGTGTATTTATAGGCAGTCTGTGCAATGGTGAAGAAGTTGGAGGATATAATGGAGAGATCCAGAACTTGAACGATGGAATGCGCTACCTGGTTGTAACATCAAGCTGTAAATCCTTTTTTTTTTTTCCTCAGCTCGCAGTGTCCTGAATTACAGTGCAATAATCCTAGCAAACAGCACCGCTGTGACCTCAGAACGGGAGCGCAGTGCAGGCAGCTGTCTCACCTCTGCTTTCTTTTTGTCTGCAGAGTTCCTGATCTTCCACCATGAACCCGGTTTACAGCCCCGTTCAGCCTGGGGCTCCCTATGGAAACCCGAAGAACATGGCATACACAGGTAGGTCCATGCACGTCCCTGTTGGGTGGAGGGAGCAGGCCATCGTTAACGAGTGGCGATTCCCTTAATTAAGTGGTTCACATCGGGGACTCAGCAGTGAGGTTAATGAGAGGGAATTGGACCCGAATGCCACCCGTGGTGGAGCCAGTTGTTTGGGGAGCACGCTGTCGTTATGACTGGTTGTTTTTGTTTTCAAGTTACGCTTTGCTTGAGTTGATCCTACGTCGAACATCGAGGCCCATGTCTGTTTGAAGCCCGTGTTTGAACCCAGTTTTCTAAAAGTGTCATCTTTAATGCTTGAAAAAGGCATTGGGTGATGCTGGCTGTAATTAATGTGACTGGCAGGGAGCTGATGTGTAGTGATAGAGAAAGAACTGAGCTCAGACAGGGGCTGTGCTTTGGAAAAAAACCTCAATGTGAGTGTCTGTGTTCTTCCCTGGGCGTTGTTTCCCCAGCATGTATTCTGATGGTGTAACCCTTCCTGCCACCCGCCTGGGAACGCACTTCCTTCTAACATTTTCTTGAGTGTCATTAGCTGTTAATTAGCGGTCATGCTTTGTGTTCACTTTACCAGCTGCATGAGTTGACTTTAAGCCTCACACGTGAGGCTGCGTTGGTGGAGAGAAGTGGTCAGCAGGCATGGAAATGAGCATCCAATGCTCTCAGCTGTTTCATCTGCGCGGCGTTTCTTTGGCTCTGCTCCTTCTCTCTGGCAGCAGATCAGTCCTGCTGTGTTTGCTGAGGAGTCCTGGCTGATAACTCCAGTATGGAGAGTTCCTCAAAGAGGTTTTGCCCTATTTTGATCCACCATTTCTCTTTTCCCCAGTCAAATTTATGCATGCTGCTTAGTTGGAGATACTTCACGCAGGGAAACTTTGGTCTTCCAGTCAAAGCGTGAGAGGCTTTGGGAAAAATTCTCTGTGAATAATCAGAAATATCACATAGAGAGAGGACTGCAGACTCCAGCAGTGCTCGGGTGGGAGAAGGAGTTCCAAAGTGCACTGGAGAGAGCAGCAATTTTGTGCTTTGCAGTGTGTGGATGGGTTTGACAAGAGTCTGCTTCTCTCCCGCTTTACTTTCTTTGCATGTCCTCGAAACTCCACATTAAATACTTATTGAATGTGAATTTTCTCTGTCTGCTTCTGAACAGCCGTGGATGTTAGGTTGGAGATGAGGAGGAAGTTTTGGAGGCAGAGGGTGGTGAGGCACTGGCACAGGTTGCCCAAGGAGGCTGTGGATGCCCCATCCCTGCAGGCATTCAAGGCCAGGCTGGATGTGGCTCTGGGCAGCCTGGGCTGCTGGTTGGCGACCTGCACACAGCAGGGCTTGGAGCTGGATGAGCGCTGTGCTCCTTTGCAACCCAGGCCATTCTGTGTTTTAGAAGCTGAAGATTATGTTGTGCATTCAGATGTTTAAAGCCGTTGTCCTCCTTGCTCATGGCAGCTCCGGTAGGCGTCCTGGTGGGGCTGGTTTCATCCCAGACTTCAGCCATTCATCTTCCAGAGTTCGTGATGTGAAGCATGACCTAAGGCAGAAAGGTTGGAAGAGATGGGACTCAAGGAAATGTCATAAGGTCCTTGGATATATCAGTGGGAACTCAAAAATAGGAAGATTCAAGTGGCTGCGTGGATACAGGACAACAAAGCAGTAACTGGGTCGTGTTGATGCTTGGTTGGTTTCTTAGTTTAAATGAAGAGCTGTTTCTTTGCTAGGCAAGTAGTATTCCAGAATGTCCTTAAAATATGAATTTGGTGGGAAAACTGAAGTTACATTTCAGCAAAAGGGAAAAAAATTAACATTCATTCCTTTACATATCAAAGACAGGCAATGCTCGAGGGCAGTTTCAGCAATTATTAACAGAAAGCTGACATAGCTCTTGCTTTAGAAATGCCAGATTCTGTCTATCTAATGCTGATTTCTACCCTTGGATTTCATTTGCAATGCATTGCTCAGCTATTGATCGATTTATTACGTAGCCACAGGCTGTTCTGGAGGATATTTAAATGCATATTGACAGAGAAAATGGACTTCTCACAGGAGAAGCATGAAGTTAAGGAGTTGGGAGGTGTTTCTTTCTCAGATTGTTTTGAAATGGCGTGGAAGGGACGTTGCCTATTGGAATTTGTGCAGAGCCCTTCCATGGCCCCAGGAGCTCATTGCAGCTTTGGAGTTTGTGATTGCTTTGGTTTAAATGGCTTGAATGGTAAATAGTGCATAAACCAAGGTTTGAAAGTAGAAGTGCTCACTGAAGTGGTCAGAAGTGTTAAATTAACACAAGAAATGGGCAGAATATTATTGGCTGTGTGCTCCAGCAGGTCCAGCTCCAGTAATCACCGCCCGTTTGAAAATCTGACTGATTTTAGAACATCTGCAGCAGCGTTTGAATATTAAAATAGCATGTAATTAATTTGGATCTTAGTGTAAAGTGCTGTTTTAATTGATCTTAACTTTAAAAAGTACACTTAAGGACTCTCGTTTGCTATTTTATTATTTGTGGAATGTGTTTTCCTGTCCCAGGTGTAAGCTGTTCAAATGCCTGGTTCTCCGTGGATGCGTTATCCTTTGTCTTTCTGTTTACAGCACTTCTGCCTGTGGTTAACTCTGAGTATTTTGCAAAAGGATGTGAGCAAGTCCTTAAAATACACATCAGCCAGCAGACGCCTCTAACTTCAGCAAGAGCGTGTGCCCCAGAGATGGGTAACTTTGTTCTTTCTGTAGTTGGGTCAACTTTTTCAGCCTGTCTTTGGTCCACCAGGTTGTGTGTCCTGAGTGCTTGACAGCCTTGGGTCAACTTTTGGGCAGTTATTTGCCTTCAGTGCTCGCCATCCTTGGGTCAACTTTTGGGCAGGTTACTTGCCTTCAGTGCTTGCCAGCCTTGGGTCAACTTTTAGGCAGGTTACTTGCCTTCAGTGCTCACCAACCTTGGGTCAACTTTTGGGCAGGTTATTTGCCTTCAGTGCTCGCCAACCTTGGGTCAACTTTTGGGCAGGTTACTTGCCTTCAGTGCTCACCAACCTTGGGTCAACTTTTGGGCAGGTTATTTGCCTTCAGTGCTCACCAAACTTGGGTCAATTTTTGGCCAGGTTATTTGCCTTCAGTGCTTGCCAACCTTGGGTCAACTTTTGGGCAGTTATTTGCCTTCAGTGCTCGCCAGCCTTGAGTCAACTTTTGGGCAGGCTGTGCGTCCTCAGTGCTCACCAGTCCTATGGCAAATGGATGAGCTCACTGGAGGGGAATCAGGGATGAAGAATCAGTCTTTTCTGGAGCCTCAAGCGTGAAACCATAAAAGCATTGTAGCTTACACCATGATCATTTTCCCTATCAGAGCCTGATTAATATGCTGATAAGATGCCGTGCTTCATGAACCTTCGTTAGGCTGCCCCGTGTTCATTGCAGCTATTGCTAAAATAAAAGCTGATAATAAAGTCCACGAGCTCAGAGATGTGAAGCTGGTGAGTAAATCTCTGCGGGTTTGTGTTGCGTGGCTGCAGTGCACGATGCTCTCCTGCTGCCAGGACCTGCCAGGGCTGTTCTCCTGCATGTGTGGCACATCGTGGAGATTCTGCCTATGGACATCAGTGGAGTTTTTTGGACAAAGAGCCCTCTTCAGGCTCCATGTGCCACTGAGCTGTCTTTCTGCTTTTTTATTCCACAATGACTGCTGGAAATTGGAAAAATAAGAGGAATTTTGGAAGTTATTTGAAGAGTTACTTGAAATTTTATTTAAAATGAACAGGGCAATCTCAGTTTTTCTACTTTCTCAGCCTTTCCATTCAAAAAATCACTAAACAGTGTGGGTATATTCTGTCCTGCTCCACACATTACTACCTGGACTCTTCCATAGAGTTATCAGTCAGCCCTCTGCCTGCTCTCAGACCAAAATCCATGATGCAATCCCAAACTCCTTGCTGTACTGCTGCATTAGGATGTGCTGCTCGCACACCTTGGCCTGTGGTCCCTCCTCGTCACTCTGGTTCCACGTTTTTCTGCCCAGTTTGAGGTGCAGTGTGGAGATGTGATCCCCTGTGCTGCTTTCATGGCAATGGCAAGGAAAGAGCATCTCTCCTAGGTTTGTTCTTATGAGATGTGTGCATTATGTTTTAGAAGCCCTTCTTCCTCCCTTGTGTTGAAAGGCACATTGCTGGTTGATTCCTATGGAGATGCTTAGAGCTGTGTTTGGTCATGAGTCCCATCCCTGGGATTTACGTCAGAATTATTTACTATAGTCTTCCAAAACCCAAACCTTCATTTTAAAGAGGTTATGTCTGGACAAATGTACTTGTCTGCTTCTTGAGTGGGAAGGGAGAGGCAAACCTGTGTTTGGAAGTGAGTACACATGGAGCATGGTATCTCTGTAGACTCAACACTCCCACTCCAAAACATGGGTTCCTTGCCTGCTGCTGGCCATGTCTTCTGAAGTTCTTGGCTCTCAGTGAATCCTTGCAGCACATGTTGATCATGCAGTGTCCTCGAGCCCTCCAGGTTGGGGATGCTTGGCCACTTGGGGAGCAACGTTGGACACTGCTCTTCCCAACTCTTCCCAGTCACTCCAGGAAGAGTTGGGGATGTGTGGCAATGGCAGAAAGTGAGAGCCTCAGGACGGAGGCTCCCAACTCACCCAGGGTGGGGGAAGGCAGACACATCTTCTGTTTCTTTCAGGAGCCTACAGGGAAGTCAGGGAGTGCAAATGTGAGCGCACAGAATCGTATCATATCGTATCCCGAATCATAGGATATCAGGAGTTGGAAGGGGTCCGTAAGGATCCTGGGGTGCAACACACTGGGAAGGTTTGGTGGGGTGGCTGTGCTCAGATGGCCCGATCTTCTGGTTTTCATGATTAAAAATGTGCATCTGAGAGTTCTGAATGATGGAATCATAGAACCAAATGCATTCGTCCTGCAGGTAATTCATTAGCTACAGGCAGCCCCAGCGGTTCCACAGTTTTCCTGGATGATAAATGCAGGTATTTCATGCAGACTTTTTGTGTAAGGGACAAGGCA